CAGTGTAATGCGTATTCCGTAATAAAAATATTTAAATGTCTCATCGTCGGAATTTTACAATTTTAATTTTTTCGAAAACAATATTTTCGGTCACCTAATGCAACCATACAGAAATAATTCTTAAGTTTTTGTTATATCATAATTTATTCGGTTTCAAAAATAAATATGTTCTTACATATTATTTTTGTCACATAATATTATGCACATTTTATATTGATTACATTGACATATTTTAAGTAAAAGAAAAATCGGTTATCATTATTGTCAACCTTTTAGTCACGTGTACATTGCTTAGTTAGAACTGCCAAAAAGAAATAATGAGAAAAAAGTAATTAAAATAGTAATTTTAGCGTATTTTTTTTTCTACCCTGTTTATTTTTTATCGGATACTAACACATAGCCGTGTATAGGACAGAGACATATTTTTTTTTGCTGATTCGATTTATTGCTACGTAAGCTATAAATTTATTTTATGACTACGAAAGAAGAAATACCAAAAGATTTTAGTGCTTGATTAGAAATTTGTTTGTTTTAAGAACATTACCTTTTGTTTTTACAATTTAATAGCATATATTTGTTTGAATACTCCTAAGATACCTATAAATATTATTTGGTTGTTATAATAGAACTAAATAATAATAATTTAGATAATATTGTTTGAGTAGAAATATTTTAAAATCTTTATAAAAGTTGCAGTCGATTTTCTTAAATTCGATATGGATTCAATTAGACACGTACAATATTGTTCAATAATCATAGAGACAAATAAATATGTAATAAATAATATAATATATTTATGTATATGGGTTTATTAGATTTTATATACATTCTTACCGGAGCAATAGGCTATTATATAAATACTATATTATTGTACAGTATAAGTTAACATTTGCGTGTTTTTTGAACATTTATTTCGTTAACACTTTTATGGGAAGTCAAAGTACATTTCATGTAACCGCATGTAACACACCTATCAAGATCGGAAACAAAACACAATTTGTGCTTAAGCCTTAAGCAGTACAATTTCCAGCAATTTTGAGAAAATCGCAAGAAACTGTAAAATAAAGCTAACGAATATATCTAGCTTACGGCTGGTACTACGCACGCTTTTTTTCGTTTTTGTTCTTTCTACCAACGTCATTTGTGGGCACTGCAATTATTTGAGACAATTAGAACTGGGTCGGTCCGTCTTACTCTTTAGTGGTTTGAAGTTCAGCATCGTCAAACCCAAAACTCAGTGTTGTGGAAGTAAAACAGTCAGTTTGCGTGTTTTTTGACTCTCAGATGTCTACCATTGCATGTATTGTAATAAATAATTTTTTTTTTTATTGATCTAAAACCCGGAAATTATGGGCCATTAACTATTTGTAGGGGGTAACGATTGACTTAAAACACGTATTTCAGTATGTATTTGTATGTGTAGCAAGAATGTGTTGCTACAAACCCGGGTGGTCACCCATCCGAGTGCTAGGAACAACTTCCGGTACGTACTCTCAGAGCGTTTCCGCGGATTAAGCTTACGACAGCACCTCACCAAGCCACAATAAATAAACTATAATAATATATTAGTGTATTTTTTGTATTAAATATTATATATGTTATACTCTTGTCTATAGGCTTCTAATCTCTTTTTTTGCGAATACACAAGTGACAGCTAGGGTAGCTGTATATGTAAATCGGCCTTGTAGACGTTGTAGTTTATGTCATTTATGATATAAACAACATAGTATGACCGCAAAAGTCAAGATTTGGTTCAAGTCCATACAATTACGTCACTTCTTCTCCCACATTATCATAAACTTATTACTTCCATAGTTCCATACGCTAAGCAAAGTGCCAAAGTCACGTGCCTATAGAAGGAACTGACAGCCAAAAAGTTCCAATCGTACCATGTTGTTTATATCACATTTCAGCCTATTAGGTATTACTAGCCAACTTAGCTTATTTAGCTTTATAAAGTTATATGCTTACTGCTTAGGTACTTATTCTTAAATTAAAATTTCAAGGAGTCAATAAATTACCTATATCATTTGTTTCCTTAAAAACCTTAATGTAATGGTTCCTATACCAAATTCAACAAACTATCAAAACTTATTTGACCATCGCCTACTTTAAAATGTATCAACAATTAATTTTCGTCTTTCGAAAGCAACCAAATACACGATATAAAAGAGCGCCGTAACTGAGTGCATAAATGTTTGTGTTCATAACACCACGAACGTCTGCCTTATAGGACACGTCTATTTTGATGTGAAAATAAAATCTTCACTATCCGTCTATCCACCACCCCGCCAAGGTGATATTAAAATGAAATTATTATTAGTATAATAGTATGTCTACTCGCCGGTACAAACATAATATTATATACATTTCACTGCCGATAAATTATTCACTGTGGTTGAAAAACCGGTTCAAATAATTTTATCAAAAATAAACAATACACGCGTCCCCCTCAGTATACTTTCACTATCACACACGCACATAAACAAGTCGTCGTAATACAGGTATATTTTATGGGTACGTAGAACAGTTGTTCGCGAGACTCGCGGGAGGCGGTCCTGAATTATACACAGACACACTCTCGAGTCGCCAGTTATTATTGCTGCACTGCTACACGTTATTATTAAACATAATAATATTCGTCGTACGTTAAAGCGTACAGCATTCATTTTTACTCGCATGTGTTTGCGCTACGAACGAATAATAATATTATGTAAGACTGAACGCGACCGCTTTCAAGGTCGGAACGATATCATATGAATCGTACAAAAGCCTAAAAGAAAACGGAGCGAAGTATTAACACCATCGAAAGCTAGACAATATCTAAAAATACTGAATATTGTAGCTGATCGTAAATTATAACCAATAATAATGTTTATTCATTACGGTTAGTACTTAGTAGTTATTATTAGCATTTTCTATACACCATAATATTATTTTCAAAATATTTTGACTCATTTTGTGCTATTTATAGGCATAAGAAAATTTTCTCGATTGCTCATGGGACGGTTTTCTTATTTTGTTGTAATCCAAAAACGAATGACCATAGATACTTGAAATTTACACCAAATGTTTATTTTATCATTTTCAGTAGATACTTGAAAAAGGTTTTCAAAACATTTTGACTCGCTTTAAGCTGTTTACAGACATTTTCTATTCTCAATGTTTTTAGTTAGTTTCTGCCAATGTTTTGTAATTATAATAAATACAAGGGTTCTCACACAATATTACAATAGCAGTTTACTAAATATTAAAAATACATTTTCTGCATACATTTATCATAATCAATATCAATCGAAGTCGAAATGTTGACAAAAATACAAAACCTCGAAAATTTTCAAATTAGTTTGTAGGTAGTTAAAATTTTATGAAATGTATACACTATACATTTTTATGGCTAAGGATTGAAAATTTAGAATATGGATTTTCATAAATAGCTCATACTGTAACGAACAAATCTCAAAAGTATATTATAAACATAGTTTTTTTTTTTATAGATATTTTAAGTTGAAACGTCCATAAAATCAGATATTCGAACAAAGAACAACGATTTTAGTTATTTTTTTGTAATTTAAAATAATTTTTTGTGGGTACTTGAAATTTCTAAATTATATTATTATATTTTATACCTACACACAGTGGCTTTTTCAAATACAATTATTTTCGGCAAAAAAATAATTCAACCTATTGTATACTATTATACTAATGCCGAATAATAAAATAAATAATTTTCATAACAAAAATATCATAAAATATACTAAATTACTAGGTAATATAGGCTAACAGACCTTTGATCAGAATTGTTTTTCGTATCCAATGATTTAAATCATTAAATTAAAATTTAACACAAAATCCATTGCAGTGTATCTCTACTCTCTAGACACCTAAAATAAAATATGTACAGCAGAGCGTCACCCAATTTTTTATCTTATCCATATTATATTTGCATATTGAAATGAAAATTATATTTTTTGAGAAACAACTACAAGCCTGCTCGTAACGTAGTTGTCTTACAATCTCTTAATATCTCGTGTTATTAAACAAATTCAATTCAGATGCCCTAAATATGCCATACGATGTAAACAATATCACGCAGGTATGCAAAACACAACTACATCAATCACGGTTTGTGAATATTACGTTTTTGGATTTTGAATTCGGCCGTCGAGTTTACGTGCCTATTACGTAATAATAATATTATATAACCAGGGTCATGTTGTTAGACTTAAAAATGCACCTCGTTAGGCCGGATGACGGTGACCAATTTAACATGAATTGATTGCGAGCAGGTCATTCACCCGTCGTATTTACAACATACTGTGTCATTATTATTGTTACAATTATTATGATTTAGAGAAAAAAAAAAGGCAAAACGTATAATTAATATTGCGATGGACGACATGCCAAAATTACCTATCTACGGGCTAAAACCACTGTCATTAGGACAAAATAAGAGATTTAGTGTTGTATTTATATCACAGGCGGACGCCGTCCAAATAATTAAAACGCGATTTTAAGGTCGTCCGTCGCGCCACATGTCTAAAACATTGCAGACTCTTCCGTTGTAAATTTTTTATTTTATTACAACGCAACTTATTTTTATTATTATTACTGACATTATGCATACGATTTCGCCCAAGTCTTCCGTACAAAACGGCTAGGAGACCTGAAAATAATTCGCATACTTTGTAACGTTGTTCGCGAGTTGACGTTATTTTTTCTTTTAGTAGTTTTTTTTTTTAACGCCGACGCGTTCTTGACACACATTTTTACGTTCTGTTATAGCAAACCGATCGTCGGGCGGTGTTTTTGTTTTTCATTTTGCCAATGTGGGACTTGTGCCCGATTTATGGCTCACCTCGCCCGTGAGTTTTATACTCTCAGGCATACAGTGCCAAACGACAACGACAATAACAACGACGACGATGATAGTATGTGACGTTTGGTTGTGGGTGAGCAACATATAAAACTAATGATAAAATACAGCGCGGGTTACCTACCTATAGTATTGTTATGTACGCGAGGAGTCCTCTTCAGACGGTTTTGACTCGGTGAAAATCCACAAACTGGCAGTGCGTCACTCTTAACGATTTCCTCTGGACCACCGATAAATTAATATCATGAATATTGATATAAATTTGCGCGTTTCGAACAGTAAGCAAAAAACCAAAAAATATGAAATCGTTCGTTCTCGGGCCGGACGAAACGACGACCACCAGCACACTCGCAGCGAGAATACAAAATGTTATTTTACTATAATTTTCGTTTTATATTATAACATTATACTACATTATTTCGTTTCAAAAATCGTAAGTCGTACCGGACCGAACGCGACACACCAATTAATGCGCCGGCGCTCGGCAGCCAACAGGTCAATCTCTGCCATAATAGTGCTGTGCCACTGCCGCCGCCTCCTCCTCCGATCGTTTGAAAAAACGGTCGACAGGGCGGACAACGGTGGTACGTGAAATATCCCGCAGTTTTGGTTTGCTTTTCCCGCGAACCGATTTAATAATATTATTATGTTAAGTAGACACCGTCGAGTAGCTGCTGTGGAGCACATTTAGGGCCTAGGGGTTGTGACTTGTGGAGGGAATGTCATACCACGAAATCGTGGAAAAGTCCGTGGCAACAAAACAACAGTGATAAACGATAATATTGTGTGGTCCATTCATAAACACCGTTCAGTTCGGACAAAAATAATATTGTGTTTAAATAATGATCAATAATCAATAAAAGTATTATTAGGTCTGACTATATTGAGATATCAACAATGACTTTGGTTTTTCGTAATGAATTTTTAAATACAACTAATTATTGTCCATTTGCTTATTTGGTAGATCACTCTCACTATCACGTTGTCAACACTCGATACATCCCAAAATATTTGTGTGGACACTTGTGTGTGTGTGTTTAGTGTTTTCTACCGGCAAGACTTACAGTAAAGTGGATACATTTCACCTACGCCACGGTGTACGAGATAACTAGGTCGGCCGAGAAGAATTTTCAGACGAACAAACGAGGAATTATTAAAAATGCTGTGAGGCATGTGTAATTATGTTAAGGATAATTACGGCCGCCGGGTTTCTGGAAGCTGCGCATATGCACTAGCAAAGTGGCAAGGCTGAGGAAGGCAGTCTTGGTGGGTCGATGTGTTGTATAACAATAATTAATACATTGTTTTTTTTTTTTTGCTCCAATAACTGCCTAATGCTGCATAGGGGTGGGTCTTACTACGAAAGTTGTGCGCCCTAATATGTGGCGGTTACGCAATGTGAAACACAGGTTTCATAATATTATACCATTACACCCAATTGTAGAATATTATATTGTTTCGTATTGTTATATACTTGACAAATTCTTGAAAATACCAAATAAACATTGTTTTAAAAAATGTCTTTAATTTCGCAGACATTACACAGTCTAATGTCATTAAAATTTTGAAACAATCATTTGTGTTGTACTAACTATATGACAATACTACAAATAATTAATTATCTACCTATATTATGTAATAATATATTAAAAATGTCCTTAAGTATACATACAAAACTGTACTAGGACATGGGGAGAATATAAATATACTGTGGATATTTAAATATTTATCACCCATAATAATTGTCCAATAATGTAATTTAATTAGTGATGATAATAATTAGGTAATTATAATCATATGACACTATAACATTATGAAGAGAACATGCAAATGATTAAAACAATTATATTTAAACTCAGAATTAACTGTATTTCTTTGTATTTTTGGTTCAATGACCTAGATTTAGTATACTCAAACCAAAACCTCGTATTTTTTAAATGTAAATTATTTTGAGGATATATGTTGGGTAATAGAGCAAGTAAGTTATAAAAGTACCCATGTTTTTCGAAGTCTAAAATTGTTTCTTTTACTCGAAAAAATTAAAATACAAAAATTATAATTCTGTAGACCTAAAATTTAGATTTTGAGCGGAAAGAGAAATGAGTGTGTTATTTTTATTTTTTTGTTGTATGTTTGTCAGGTTTGGAGAAGACATTTTACAGCAATCTTAAAATTTAAAGGAGGTTTCTAAAAGTGTTATCTAATTGGTATTTTGGGTGGTCAAAAGTTGGGAATTCTTAATTAATTAATTTCTTATAATAGGGAAACACAGCGGGGAAACGCGATTATTTACGCAACACCAGTTTTCAGCATAATTGTTTTTGTTTTTGTTGTAATTCAGAAAGGATTAAGGATTAAGGATTAATTATAAGGACTTGACATTTTCATTAAATATTTACATTAACATGATAATATAATTTTAAATTTATCTTTGATCATTTTGAGCCATTTTGGACATATTTTTATATTGTCTACCATTGTTTGGTAATTTTACAATTTAGGTATTTTCTTGGTCAAAAAACTTTAAAATCGCAATTCAAAATTGTCTGAATTTAAAAACAAATTTCTTTATTAAAGACTAAGCTAAGTAAAAATACTAAAAAAAGCTTAAGCTAATATTTTCGTAGGAAAAACCAGATAGTTACAACATTAGTAAAAATAGTAAATTTGAAAATAATTATAATAATTACCTAATAATTATATGTGTAAAACCAACCAACATAATCATTAAGACATTCCTATCAATAAACATACTTTTTACGATATCTTAAAACTTAAATTAATACTGCATTGTTGAAAAATTACTTAAATATTTAATTCTGAATTTATCATCTTTAAACATTAAAGTGTACTATAAATAGGTAGTGTTAATTACGTTCCTATTAGCTGATTCAGCTTTATTTCTATTAAATAAGATTCCACAGTTAGTTATCATTATAGAAAATGAAAAATATCTTATATCAAAAATACATAAATACAATATATTTTTTAAAACCGTCTGGAGTTATTTGGATAAGCTGATATTAAAACGTAAAATATCGATTTATCATCAAAAGATTTTATTTACATTTTATTTTGATGAAATGCAAAAATTATTAATCACAGAAACTTGATCCATTTCACTATAAGTAGAAGCTAATGGGTTTATCTAATTAATATAGTATAGGTGCAATAATGTTTGGAAAATATGTAGACAAGTCTTTAGCTTTATATAATACCAATATGATTTTCAAATTTTAGACCATTCTATCACAGTCAACAACACGTTCACATCGATATTAACTATTAGTAAATAACAATGTTATAGTATCATATATCATATATGATATACACGATGTTTTTGGCAAAAATAATTTCAACCTACAGAATAAATTAAGAAATTATCTACTCACAATAATAACATTTATTATTTATATATTATGACATAATAACAATGTGCACTTTCTTTAGAAATACTTGATGATCCACCCACCTAAATCCATCTATCAGAAAAATTGTTGCTGGCATATGAAATGATTTATCATTTAATTTGAATTGTATGCATCCATTACAGTGACATGCTGAAACAAGAGAGGTACACTCGAAATGTATTGTATAAAGCAGAGAAAAATATTTTTTTTTCAATCGTAATTTTAATAAAATTATGTTTTCATGTATGGATGTATATTAAGAAATAAATTTTACTAAAAAAAATGATATATTTTGGATAATTATTCTAACCATATGTTTCCGAGTACGTTGATATTATATATTTATACAATATACATATAATATCTTTCTCCACTTAAAAATGTATTGAAATTTAACCATTTAGGCTTCAAATTTCTCGGATATAAACCAACAGGTGGTTATATAATCGAATTGGAAACCACAACTTGAAGGTGAAAATACTTCAAGTTGTATAATACAACAAATAAAAATAAAAACAAAAAACAAATAAAAATGATCCGCTATCCCTGATGTCTGCTGTCTGCACATAATATAATAACGTTCTTATACTTATAGCGTTCTATTGTTTTAATTAAATCGGCCGAACACTTGTTTAGAATCGTGACTCATAATACTTATTCTTCACTAGGAACATTATGTTCATGTATCATCTTACACGTCAATTTCGACAAAGTCGCTTTTCGCGTCGCATTAAACTTTGCATGGATTCCTACTTGTATACACTATTTATACCTAATATACATGTTTGTTTGAAATGTACACAAAAACATATGTAATAGTGTAATATATGCACTATGCAGACATGCAGTGTACTAAGTACTATCTAGTACTAAAGAAGGAATAAATTATTCTACTGATTTTCTCAAATATTGTAAGATTACACATGATAATACTAACCTCAAACCTTATAATGTTAATTAATTTCAATTGTATAAACGTGAATTATTTTCGAATAGCTTTTCTGTAAGTAAATTTTGATACTACCTACCTATATTATGCTATTTAAGTTGAATACATCATACTGCAGCTACTTTATAACTTAAATTAAAACTGGAACTAATATTATTGAAGTCATTATATAAGATGAAGCTACACAAACATTTGTTGTCTACGTCTTACAAGTGTATTAAATACTAAATATACGCTCAGCAGATCACGTTTAGCTTCTTTAATTTAAATCGACCTATTATGAAACTCGATGGTAAGAAAACAATCTGTGTTTGTATGTAAGTGTTTTACGATGATTCGATTTTTTATCAAGTAGTCTTGCTTATTTAATATAAGGTAAATTTAAAATGCTCATAACTCACTTCAAAACTGAAATATAGTAAAAAAACCAAATACAAACACAGATAATGTGCTTACCATCGAGTTTCATAATAGGTCGATTCACTCTAATTTTTAAATTAAAGAAGCTAAACGTGTCTGCTGAGCTTAAATTTAGTATGTTACACACTTGTAAAACGGAGTATATCAACGAATATCTGTGTATAGAGTCCTCTTTATAACAATTAATAAAATACTATTTAGTCCTAACGAGATTTGTCGGATGTTAATGGCTGACACCTGCAGGCTGCAACCACGGATCTTCCATTATCTATGATAGCTATTCAAGAGACACTGAGTTTAATGACCGCCGCCGCCGCCGCCATCATCATTCACTGTAAGTGGAATCCAAAAAACCACGAGACCACGAAATGTCCTTAACTTGTGTACTGTTACGCCTGAATTTGGCCGGCTCCTGTCATGTCGTCTAGCTACGTCGAATATTAAAATTCCGTCTCCGATCAAAGTCCCAATTTCTTCACCAATTACGTAGTGTATCCCAGTAGTCAGTAAGCAATTGGTCTGAAGTTACAAATGTGCCAGCCCCTTGGTACCTAACTCCAGAACTCTCAGTCATACGATCACTGGTAAGTGGTAGGACACGTCATGTCCGAATAGGTAGGAATCCTTGATTCCCTTACTTTGGGGAGACACGCGGTCAACAATCCGCTCAGATTAACACTGGGGCGCTAGTCGGACGATCTCTTAACATAATATAATACTATAATTTATAA